GTCCATGCTTACCATGATTGCCTCCGAGAAGGTACGGGTTCGGTACTCCAAGCGAATGGCCATTAAAGCTGTAGTTGCTGATTTCCTTCCGGAAGTTCAAAATCCGCATTCCGTGCGCTGCACCGACACACAGAACCAGTAGTACGAAGATTGGGATATGCTGCATTGTTACTATCGCTCTGTTCAACGATACTGGATCGAATGATTTTTCTATTGCACAATGCTTCTTTTTATATAATTAGCAATCTGCTACGCTAAGTTTTGTTCTTGGTTTGATTTGTTGTAAAACTTTCTAAATCAATCGGGCAGGGTCATCCCTTCCTATTGAATCTTCTCTTCGTATGCGTTGGAAATCGATTACAACTCTTATCAATTAAATTTCTTTGTTCTGCACCATTGGTTTACCGGTTGTGAATGCAGTGCAGTTGAACGTAATGCGTTCCTAAAACACGGTTTACCATGCACAGTACATTTGTGTTTTTCATTCCAACATTGTAAGAACAACTTAATAATGGTAAGGGCTAGCACAACTCCGAAATGCAAAGCTTTGCAAGCCATTATTTTACCCTACAAAAGCCTTAATTTTTAGAATCAATCAATTAAAAGACGAACTCAGAAAAAGGCCTCAGAAAAAGAAAGGATGGCGTAGGCTCAATTTCCGGTACAGTTTAGGATTTCCCATAAGCCATCAAAGTACAAACGACAGCTAAAACTATTCCTCGCTTTGCCCCGAAAATCAATTCGGAAAAATCTTATCCCAAAAGTTCATCGACCGAGCATTTGAAATTGAAGTGATTTGTTCCTTTCATCCCAACAATAATGCCCTTCCCGACGGATTCTATGTCAATATTTCTTCACAAAAGCCCACAATCTTCAAGCCTTTCCCTTTGATCTGATCTCAACCGAGTGCAAAAGAGAACAACCATCTGCAAACACAAAGGTCCAAGAGAGTCTCCTTCGGAAAACCGACAGAACACTGTGGTTTCCCCAACCAACATACGAGAAAAATAAAGACTGCCGCGACTGGCATGGCAGGAGGAAGAAAGTGTCTCTTTGATGAAATACCAGATTGGTTTGTCGATAAGAAAAAAGGAAAACCTGATCATTCTCTAACGAGGGAATCGCTAGTCAAAGCGTTGTGGATTCAAATGGATTGAAATGAATATGGAGATTATGGCGAATTACTAGCATAGCATAGCATAGCATAGCATATGCGATTGTACAAATCGTGGGTGGCTATATAATTCTCAACTAATACGTTTTGCAGAAAATATCGAGTGTTGACGCAGAAAATATCACTTGGGATTAGTGATTTTCCCCACACGAAAATAAAATCTACAATACAAGCATCGCATTATACCCCTGGCCACATCCTTACAATCGCAGGGGAAGGGAGGGAAAGTTAATCCAACATCTACTTAAGAAGGTGCAGGGAACCCATACTACCTTCATAGGTGTCACAGGAGGGAAAGAGTTGTGTTAGTGGGAGGGTGAATGATTTGGCAACTCTATTCGTCAATATAGAGCATTTGATAAATCAGTGACAAAAAATAAAATATAAATAGATAAAATGGAAAGATCTCACCCGATTGGCCTAGAGACTTTGCAGCGTCATGTTTTCAGAAATGGTTAATTTAATTTTTTCCCAAATGATAAGAATATCTAATCATAAATGTTGACAGTCAAATATCGACTACAGCTCAATTATTACATAAGATACGGCATAAAACGTAATTAAAGGTTTCACATTAGACCGAGGTTAGTAACATATATCCTATCATACAATTTTTTTTGCATTCCAAAATCTTTGTGTCCAGGATCTCGAAATGTTTTATGGAAAATTTATTTCGCTTTTAATTTGCTCCATAATACTGCAGACCACTCTGTGAATTCACCATGCTCTTCATATTAATAATAATTGTTGCCCAGCAATTCCCCGAAAAATACATCCACTTGGAGTACTCCTCAGCAGTATTATCCTGAAATTCTCTTTTATCATAGGAATTCCTTCCACTTTTGAATCATCTAAAAAAATTCTCAGAAATATCCTAAGAATACTCCTGCAAATTCCTTTGAAATTATCCACAATTTTTGATTGGAACTACCCTTGAAATTGTTAATTAAAATGCCTTGAAATTACCGTGATTTTTTTCTTTAGAATTTTATTGGAATTATCGTAAGAAATGCATTGGAATTATTTTCAGAATTTTCATTGTATTAACATCAGAATTTCCTTTAAATTTATCTTAAAAATTCAGCCCTTACTATCTTCTGCCAAGTTCTCTTCACATCTTTTATTATTTCTCCTCAAAATTTGTTTGACATTCAAGTTAGAACTCTCTTGGAATTCTTTTGAAGATCTAATATGGAGATTATGGCGAATTACTATGGGAAAATTTTGAATTTACCTTCATCGCTCTAACTTTAGTTCTAGTAGTCTAAACACTGAAAATTTGTGGTTGCCATGACAACGATTAACAAGCCACTTGTTGTTGTACTAAAATTGACAAGGGGTATTTAACTCTGCACACCTTAATCCAAACCGAGTTTTTAAGCAGTGCCGAAAGCTGTGCCAAGCGCTATGCCGAACGTGGTTTCAATCAAAGTGCGCCTATATTCCATGTGTTTGGCAACCCCAAGAGTTATGACTTTTTTTATTGTGTTTACATTCTCAATTTATCAGATGGATTAAGGCAAGCATTCAGCTTCTCTTCATTCTCATTAGTGCGTTTGCGGATCGGGAGGTGGAAGAGGAAGTAGAAGCCATCAAACCTGTACGGTGTTCAAACAGTCCACCAGATTCCGGCTCGATGTCCCTGCTGCTGATTCCATACAGATTTACAGAAACGAAGGCGTCACCCGATCGATGATGGATAGAATTGCCACCTGCTCCCTGTTAAATTATTCCCGGCTAAAGTAACTCAGAATTTGAACGGGCGAGAATTTAATCCCACCCTAGAAGCAACATCCTCGGGCCAGTTTTTAATAAATCCTCAAATCAAATTTTCAGTAATGAGCAAGGCCTTACAATTGACCGATCGGTAGACCACGCATCGTTCTGAGGTCCCTTGATACGTGCTAGTTCAACAGAAAGATGATGACAGAGATGCATCAGCATAATTGCCGGATCTGGTGAAGGGGATATGCTTGATGTCAGACTCGTGGAATAGAATGTAATTGTATTTTTAACTAAAATGATCCGTTCCTATAAATCCTATACTATTGGAATGGCCTGATGGAATATGTGGGGTTAATACCTATTGACTTCCCCCAGCAGTACTGGGACTTCATTCAACATTATATGGACATCCCTATAAAGTTCTGTCGATATCCCATGGTAGCCAATATCAATTGAGATCAATGACTGCGAACGTGAATAAACTGACGTTCATTGTTTTTGATTTTCATAATCACGGGATCCAACCAGTTTGCAATATAGGTAGCTTTTGACCAACCGTCGGTTGCTGGAGGTAACCAGTTTCAGCGTCTTGACTGTCGTATCGACAAGACCCTCTCGACCGGCCATGGTGTAGATGAACTAGATTGAAGTCAATCCCGAATAGCAGCTGTTCTGGATGAAATCACGCGCCACTGGGATTTTTGCTGTGAATCGGATGAGACGGACTGAGTTTTGCTAGATTTAAAGAGATTCACGGTTCAGAGAATTACTTAGAGATTTTTTTCAGAGCGATCCTCGAAACCGATTTATCGTTCTTAAATTCTTGATTGAATCGTTGTTTTACTAGTTTTATATATGAAAACAAATTCTCTCACTAGCTTCACTTTTGAGTAAACAAAGTATTCAACCGAGTAGTCAACCTTAGCAACGATTAGCAAAACGTCAACACTCAACAGTGATACCATTTTATATTATATCGTTTTTGTCCTACTAGCCAAAGTGTGCCCTATCGTGCTAAACATTGTGTCGTGCTGTGTTTTGGCACAGTGTGCAGAGTTGATTACCCCTTGGAAATTGGTGTTGTTGTCTGGCACATAGCCTATTATATCATTTCTTCTCATTTATATCTTTCTTTAAGGTGTTTCTTTGTAGTGTAAATTTTTCCATCACTCCTAGTAATTTCAAGAGCACGCAACTCAAGATCTACAAGGTTTATACACCTGCAAATTTCATACATAGCTTGTTTCTCCGCAGCAAACAACAAGTAGTATTTTCAACTCCGTGTATTCACAGAAACATTAATAATTTTACATGTGAATTTGCGACCGGCGACTAGCTCGGTCGGTAGTTGTTTTTTAAGTGTTACCAGAGATTTTCAGACGCTGCTGTTAGAAAAAATTGAGCCATCCGGCTCAAAACTTGGCTAAATCCATCAATTTAATAATGCGTACCAGTGCATAAAATGAATCAATATTCAAAATCTAAATACGACAGGGCATCGTTTGCTGGGTGTTGCCGTGGGTATTGTGGGTTTCCCAGGTACCTGGTACAAGCTTCAGTTAGCTGCGGTGGCTCTTATTTTCCTTCTATCCCTGAATAGATAATGCGAATAAGGGCGTCTATGTGATGTTTTGCTGTACCTGTTGTGGACATTAGTATATCCTTTTCTTTAAACTTTCTGAGGACGCCTTGTCTTGTCCCAGAAGTTATCCTTTTTAAAGCACTGATCTTCACAACATAAAGAGCACCATTACGGAGCATTAGAATTGATTAAATTATTCGCCGTTCTATTTGTCCAACGCTCCCAGTTGGGTGAGGGGTAGAAGATGAAACACACACATGGATCAAATCGGAAGGCGGCCTAAAAGATTGTTAATACTTGTTTTTTTTTCAAAATGCAGCACCGTATCGTTCACATTTCCTACATAAGAAGTAAATCGCAAGGGTTGGTTGCGCTACTGGAAAGTATCGCAAAGGATTATTCATAATTTGCTATTAGTTTCCAAATTATAGTTTAGTCATTCGAGCAACAGGACCAGTCCACCCCATAAATGCTGTTACTTCACTGCTATTGTGAATTATAGTACTGATGCTGACTTACGGGTACAGACAGATGGTTCGAGTCGGCGCTTAGAGGTGCTGCTGTTGCTGCTGCTGCCGCGGCCGCCGCGGCTAGATCGTCGGTGATGAACTGAATTGGCAAGGCCAGAACCTCGGGCGGTGCACGGCTAGCGGTCACACGGAGACACCGGTACGCACCGAACAGGCCCAGCACAACTGCGCCGATGAGCGAAAACGACAACAGGAAGTAGACGTATTCTGGAAGGAAAGATAAGAAAAGCGCGGTCGTTAGTGACGGTTGAAGTATATTCTATGCTCGATGTTTTCCAAATGGACGTTTCCATCTTTAAAATCATGTCAAGAAGTATTTTTGAGCAATCTGGAGTCATGCAGGCATGTTTTTGATGACTTCACACCTGGACTTTATGTATCGTACCCATCAACATGTGGACCAGGACCAACGGCTTCGTTTTCTTTTCAAAGGAAGACGTGACGAGAGACTTTTGATTCAGAAAATTCCAATGACCTCGGCTGGGCAATAATTGAACATCGTTTTAGAGATAATGCTATGTACTTTATTGTAATTTCATAAGGACATAAGGACTCACGGAAAGAATTAGAGTACCTCAAAAAATTAGACTGCAAAGTTAACCTCAGAAAAGCTCTGGGTGCTTAAAAACTATTCTGATTGCTTCACAACAGGGGCTTTGGAAACATTAGTGAAGTTCATAAAATGTTTGAAAAGCTCTGAGGATCTCAAAAAAATCTCAAGGAAATTTAGTTGACTCAGTTATTGTTCTAGATGGAGCCCAGGGTGACTCCCAGAACGTCACAACATCCTTAGAACTCTGAATATTTTAGAATATCTCTGAATTTTGATCATTTAAAACCTCTTTGAACTTCCACGATAAAGTCAGGAGTACCCTTAACATACATTGCACCTCTCCGAAGGCTCCCCAAGATCTCTAGATTCACCGAACCTTTCAGAATTTAACAGAGCCTAACAGCTACTTAACTTCAGAACTTCTCCCTTATCCTCTAAGAAGTTCTTGAGAAGTTCAGAGATTTTCAAAGAAATTAGTGAACTCTAGAGAAATTTCATGAATTATGGACTATCTAAGAGAACTCATAGAAGCTCAGAGTAACTTCAGAGAAGTTCAGGATACTACAAAGGAGTTTAGAGCACTGCAATGCCGCTCATGGCAAGTCCGTCCCATAGCACAAATCAGCATGCCGAGAAAAACGCGTTTTAAGTTAGGTTCGTATTATATTTTTTATTACACTCATGATCAGCATCAGCACTCATGATCTTTGGCTAGTACTAAAGAATCACAACGGAAAATGTTGTAAAGGATAAAGCGATTATCACTATTATTACACATCATGATCAGAAGCTGTTCGGGAGCAGCGTGAACGTTATCCACCCAAGAATATAACCATGAATAGATCAACTCTGATCTATCCAGGGCTGTACACTTGGGTGGATGACGTTTACGCTGCTCCCGAACAGAACCATTAGCGATCAACTCCGATAATCATCATCAACTGTCGTCGAGATTCCTGCAATTTAGAAAGTAGCAGTCTTCGATAAAGTTGGTCCGAAACCTTTCGAATGGTGAGAAGGTAAGTTCTGAATTATGACCATAGTGGAAATTACTGTATTTAAAAAAACACTTACGTGCGTTACGTAATATTCGAACGGACCCAAGTTACCCCTTGATTAGCTGTATACATACCAATATTTGCATCATTATAAACGTCAGCAAACAATTCAATTCAAAACGTTCATCAAATGCAGCCAAAATAGACCAGGGCATTTTGTGTTACCTACCTAGTTGTTCGAAACTTTTCCCCCAACCACCATCGAGCTTGTCGTCGAACTTCTTCGGGCACATCATGTTTGTTGGCATACGCTCCAGAACAAGGGAGAAAAACAAAGGCACAAGACCACGTCCTACTACACGTATTGTTCTACTCCGAACCGACCCAGCCCAACCAACGCGACAGCGCACGCAATCTTCCCTAGTTCTAGCTTTTAGGCAGCTTCCTTCCGTCGTGTCCGCTCGGTTTCACCAAGCCACCCCTCAGTACCGTCGGAAAAGGATATCATTTTTTGCGCAATCCCGTCTCGTGCTGATCCCTACGGAACCGCAGACAGTCAGACTCTGCCTACTCCAACAGACACTTGCTGCAGTGTAGGCCGACCGTCACCGCCGCCGCCAGACAGACAGACAAAAACGCACGGGGGACGACGACGACGACGACGACGACGGCGCGGTAGTCTCTCGTTGCCTTGCTCCATTTTCCGACCCTTGCTTGCTTAGTCGCCGGGTTCAGGGTTTGCCGGCGTCCCTTTCCCTAGTTGTGCTTCACTTCCTGCTTTCAGCCGGCCTGACTACAATTCCTACCTCAGGGCAACGGGGCAACGCAACAACGGGTTGCCGGTGCGGTGTAGGATCAGATTGATTCTGTCCCTCTTTGTATTTTCGTTTCTTGGCTGTCATGTCGGGACGACTGTGTGTTGGTGTCTGGTGCGAGTACCACTGCACGCACTTTGAAGTATTCTTATGTCGGCAGTGATGACGGTAGCAGCCAGCGTCTGGTGACGGTCGGGGGTCGATTACGCTTTTTCATCACACGGTTAGGACTCAGCCGGTGCCGGTAGGACAAAGTTCAATTAGACGGCAGGTATTAGGCCGTATAACCGTCTGGATTAAACGATGGGTATCCGCTGTGCGATTAGTCGTCGAGCGGGGTTTCATTGGATGGACATTTTGCCGAACGATTGATTAATCAAGGGGCATAAACACGGCTGGTACCCTTGATTTCACATTGTCCCAAAAACCGACAGTTTTAAAAGTATGTGTTGTCATCGGAAATCCCTAAACGTGAAACTCGACTGTGACACACTATCTTTATTGGTAAACAACCACCTAATGATGAAAATCCCTGCCATGAGCTTCAAAGTCGCCGACTCGGTAAACCAGGGGAATCTTCTTTAGACGATCTGATTTCGAGCTACGCTACTCGCCAGGCGTAGCGCCAAGCTTTCGTGATAAGTTACAAAATTTCCTGACGTCTATCTGGAAATTTCACACCTCCTCGCTCATGTTTCGAGCTCATCAAGATAGCAGCAGACCTCATAAACTAATTGCTCGTAAATTCCTCTTGGCAGAAACGAAAACAGAGCAGCTCAGAGCAAGTTTTCAAAATGGCAAAACGGTTTGTTAGTGAAATGCGTGACTAAAACCATCAAAAATCGCTTCGCACGAGATGCTTTGCTACCCCTCATTCGGAAAAAGTTATCGAGAAGGAGAGACCTAGTGCCTGCAACCCGTAGGTATTTACAAACACATCACATGGTGCTGTAAAAAAAAAACAATTACATGTGCACTTGAACAATCAATTTGCAAGCCCATCACACGCGCACCCACTTCCCACATTAACCCCTCCAAATGCAGAGAGCCTACAACCCTACTTAAAAAAAAAACTATACGGGTTTGCAACGGCACAAGTAGCACAGTCAGTCGGCCCAGCCAGACAGATTAATGCTTATCTTATCACGAGGGCCGACGCTGCTGCTGCTGCTGTTGCTGCCGCCATGCCAGACGAAGCACATGAAATATAAAAAATAAATAAACACCACCAACGACCGATCGTCGAACGGCCGAGACAGACAAAGTGAAGCATTAGGAGCGCACATGTTCGGTGTGTTCAGGCTCTGCCGAGAGTTTGGAGGACGTCGACGACGGTGACGGCGACGTCAAGTACTTGTAATACCTACCTATAGACACCAGCTGGGAGATTGCAGGGGTGTACTCTAGTGGGTGGTGGTTATCAGTTAAATCCGTCCAGATGTGTACACTGGTGTACGAAAACTTGGACACATTTTGGATTCCGATGAATTAGGACCGAGTAAATTTTTCTTCTAGAGTATTCAGTCTGATTTTAATTACTCATGATAGTAGGATGCCTATCGTGATAAAAAATCGTTTGTATATTAATTTATTTGATAAGGCTCAACCGACTTAACTTAACAGAGCCGAGGATTCATGGTCACTATACAATACATCTTAAAGCTATAGTCAAAAGGTACAACACAATAAACACTTTATCTTCCGCTATCCAAAAAGCCTCCTCCATCAGAACTGGAGCCGCTTCCAGTAGTTTCATTGTATGGCAAATTGTTGTACGCCAACGAGGGTCAGAGCGCGTCCGTTGCAGCAATGGACGCAAAACGTGGTCAGCACTCACACACTCATCACGAAACGGTTGCTTTCCAAAGTCGACGACGCATCGACCGAAAGAACTGCTGATGAAGAACAATGAGGAGGACCACACAATGGTTGCTGCCGAGTAAACAGACGATCGCGTAGCACACATCGAGAGTGGACTGCTTTTGTCGACAGCCGAGTGAACACTGATAAAAAATCGTTTGAAACAATTGATAATAACGATAATTTTGTCCTTTTTGGCAAGTAATATTACACCATATTTGACACGATTGAAGTGCATCCACTTTGATGTGATATCAAAATTAATATGGTGCGCTCATCTGATACAAACAGATTGATTTTATTTGTGCGGCCATATGAGCGCTCACGAGCTCCTGTGAAATAGGTACCTTCATCTCGAAATATTTAAACAATTAGTGGATGCCAGTTTTCACTAGACGCTCTCTCGAAGTGAAGAAAATTGCCGCACTTCCCACGAAAAAATATTCCGAGATAGGGGAAATGACGGCTTCGGCATGCCAGACTATTTTCGGCAACCCAAATTGAAACACTATTTTCACTGGATTTTCTTACGGAAACACTTCGCTGAATGCATTAAAACGATTCTTTATGCTTTCAGCTTCAATTTGACTATATTTTTACCACTGAGAAAAAGCAATCTAGCAAGGTTTTCTTGAAATGAAACACACGCACTACAAATTGTAGATGATTTCGAGTTGCCGATAATAGAACAGCAGATTTACATGCAGTTCAAATGGAACGGTTGCCGAAGAAAACCTGGAGCTTTGTAAAAGCGTTTCAAAACAGTTTTTGACAATTCTTTCGACTGAAATTGTTAGAGCAGCTGGCAGCAAAAGATTGTAAACAAACCAGTACTGCATATGTGTGCGTTCCTTAGAGAAAAAGGCTATAGAAAGAAGGTCGCTGCTTAGGTTGCCGAGAATACGTAAACTCCCCTATATCGATTAAGATGGTTGACTTTTATACGTTTAATTTTTCATGGGAAATTGCAGCAACTTTACA